CTGGTCTTCACTTACATCACATTGCATCTCACACGACTGGTCTTCACTTACATCACATTGCATTTCACACGGCTGGTCTTCACTTACATCACATTGCATCTCACACGACTGGTCTTCACTTACATCACATTGCATTTCACACGGCTGGTCTTCACTTACATCACATTGCATTTCACACGACTGGTCTTCACTTACATCACATTGCATCTCACACGACTTGTCTTCACTTACATTACATTGCATCTCACACGACTGGTCTTCACTTACATCACATTGCATCTCACACGACTGGTCTTCACTTACATTACATTGCATTTCACACGGCTGGTCTTCACTTACATCACATTGCATCTCACACGACTGGTCTTCACTTACATCACATTGCATTTCACACGGCTGGTCTTCACTTACATCACATTGCATCTCACACGACTGGTCTTCACTTACATCACATTGCATCTCACACGACTGGTCTTCACTTACATCACATTGCATTTCACACGGCTGGTCTTCACTTACATCACATTGCATTTCACACGGCTGGTCTTCACTTACATCACATTGCATTTCACACGACTGGTCTTCACTTACATTACATTCCATTTCACACGACTGGTCTTCACTTACATCACATTGCATCTCACACGACTGGTCTTCACTTACATTACATTCCATTCAATACCGCTGATCGTAACTTGCATCACATTCCATCTCACACGGCTGATCTTTTCTTCTACACTTTCAGATGAATGTTTGAAACTCAAGAAACGAAGAAGTCGGTTCACAGAAATCATTCTCCACGGTCCACAATGAAAGGTGCTCCCTTGAAATTTCCCTCACAGACAAGATGCCTGCTGGGATACAGACGATGTTTGTAATTAGGCACCACGGGACTCTTTAAAGACACACGTGACCTGGGGGTCATCACCCCCAAACCCCACTCACCAGGGGGCGCCACATACAAATGTTTTATCACAAAGCTGCATGGAGTAAACAGACTTTGCTACCAACAAAACACACAAAAATACTCTCCCCTGCCCCGCGCCTGGGGGCGCCTGACTTTTAACCGCCCTTCTTTGAGAGCATCAGTATTTCAATGGTCTGGGGATCTTTTTTTTTTTTTTCATTGTTAGTGAATACAGTTTTTTTGATGGCGCTTGTTGACATTTGTGCTTTCAAGGATTCTCAAATTCGAGGATCTCAAAATATGACTGCAATGCATAACGGTTAAGTTGAGAGTGTGTTGTTGTTTTTTTTTTGTTAGTGTTTTTTTTTTAAACGTTCAACAGCCTCAACCCTCTCCACCCCCTTCTGCTCACCTGGCAGTAATAAAAAATCAAACTCTGTTAATTAGATTTTAATTTTTAAAACAATAATGAGGTTTAGGAAATGTGTTTTTAAACATGCATTTAACGTGAAACTGACTCTTCCATGAACCGTGCATCAAGATTGCTTGCAATGTTATGAACTGTGTTGATTTTGTTTTCCCTTTTAATTGCTTATTTGTCTTGGTTCATTTCTTTGTTTTAAAATGTATTTTCAATTTTTCCTTAAGGATTATTTGACCTTAAAAGTGATTAAATTGATTATTCCAGGAAGGGATTAAATTGATGAAATCAACTACAGATTGATCTTAAGTCAACCTCCTGCTTACCCAGTTTTGTGGTGTAGCAGAAGTTACATCACATGTAAAAAGGAACGTGTCATTGATTGATTGATTTTTTAAAAAATCTTCTCGACAAAGTGAATGTTTCCAGTTAGATTTGCCAAAAATTATAGTTTGGAAAGAGACTATCGATGAAGGAAGTTTCTTATGCTAAAGTCAAGGTGCTGTATATAGATGAAATAATTTGGACATGCTTAAGTCGGTATGGTGTGTGTGTGTTTTTCTACGACTTTGAAAATGGAAACCAAAAAAAAATCAACTTATCTAAATCGCAATTTCCACCAAAAAAAATTGACTGAACTATTAATAATGGCTAATAATTTCATTTTCTTTTGTTTTAAAACTGCTGGAATTTAACAAATTCAAATGTATTTCCTATAAAAAGATTCTCACAGTAGTAAATCACACACCGTAAGTGACCATTCTGGATTCTATTTCATTTGTTTAATCCCCCCCCCTTCCCTCCACACCCCCCCCAACCGCAGGTTTTTTGGGCTGGCTGTTCACCAACATGGATGTAATCAATCAGAATTAATTAGACCCTAATCCACCTGTACAGGCTGTCCATGATGTTTTCATTTCAGCTGGAGTTGAGGCAGCCTGTGTCCACTGTGTGTATGTCTGTCAGGTGATAGATTCATAAGTTTGTGTTAGATCACAGATTCATTGCCTCATGTGTTGCTCACACACACACACACGTGTAATTTGTAAGACCATGTCATTCATTGCAACCCAGTCCTATTACTTACCAGGGTCACAAACTTATCTCTAAGACAATTCTAAAATGTGTCTCTATATTAAGTATTTGGTGTTTTTTATACATATTTTTTAAAGAGCAACAATAGTTGTTTATTGTAATGTACCATCGTTTTTGAAATGTTATTCCTATGAATATGTAAATTACACAATTTAAAAAATAAATAATTAATTAATAGTATGGATTATTATTAGTGGCACGTTATATTTTGAAAATTAAATCTAAGAGCAGAAGCCCTCCCCAGATTTAGCGCATATTCTAATGGGATTGCATTTAAACTCATCAACACAGCTGTCATCATTCATTGCAGTGTCAGACCTTTTGACATGATGTTGTTCTAGTTCTAGTCTTGTTTGGATATCCGGCTGGATGAAATTAGTCGTCGGACCTCATGGTCCAACAATTATAGCAGAATTTTATTGCAACATTTATTTTACCTTTCGAGCACACACAGCGCAAGTGGATGGTGTGCTTAGCTTCGGGTGATGGGAGGGGTTTGAAAGTTAGTGGGTAGTTTCTTCTTTTTTTTTTTAAATCCCTGGTGAAAAGGGGGGCGGCACCCTGTGGGTGGAGGAGGGGGAATTTCCACTAATTAATATTATATGACACGCTGTGACCAGACTTAAAGATAGAAATCGATCGTTGGCCCGTGGTACTAAACGGTCTCTGTGCTTACTTACAGTGGTTACAA